TCTACACCTTGTTATCTCAGATTCTCCAGCATCTGCAGTTCCTACTATCTCTGAAACACTAGCACATAGGTGAGGGTTGATCTTATGTATACTTAAAAGGGTAAAATATGTCCCTCACCATATTCTCAGTCTAAGATACTCACAGGAGAATACAGATCAGTTTGTATTACATTTCTTCCACTTGAAATTTACCTGACACCTTCAGGTGTAGCATTCCAGGCTTCCTTTCAGAAATTCATTGAATTAACATCAACAGTCATCTTTTGGTTACATCTCCTGTTTATGGAAAAGGATCATTTGTTGCAATTAAAAGTTCAATATGCCCATAGGTGATCCAGGTTTATGATCTGTGGCCATGGTGATATGTATTTAATTAATATATCATATTTATTTCAATATATTTACATACTTTAGATACCACAATACATGTGAATCAACAACAGCAGTCATTCTACAGCTTAGTTTGAATTTCTCGCCTTCAAGTATAGGTTATGACCTCTAGATCCACTGTTCTGAACAAGGTAAACCAGCTTGTAATATCCAGGCCTTTACAATTAAAAGCAGTAGTTGTGTCACATCATAATCTTCTCTTTTCCAGTGAGAATATGCTCAGTTTGCTTATTTGTTCCTCATCATCTAATGCTTCCATCCCCTCAACTGTTTGGTTGTTCTCTACATCCTTTCAATAATCTTGTTATCCTTTTTGTACTGCAGTGACCAGAACTGTATATTGACTGGGTTGCCCCAGTGTTTATTAAGTGGCATGTTTACCCCACTATTTTGGCTTAATGTTGACTATTTAATGCACTCTAATATCTGATTTGCTTCACTCACTGCAACGTTATTTTGCAATAGCCAGTCAGAATGACTAGACCGTCTCTCGTTCGCAATCCACATTATTTTCTCTCCAGTTAAGTAACTGTGCCTTATTAGACATCTTTTGTTTCCATGTAAAATATTTTGCAATATTGAATTTTATCCTGTCTAATTCCTAAATATAATGATCTCCTCTCCTTTGCTCTTGTTCAACTTTAAGGTTCATTTGTACTCTCATGGATATAGGGAGAAACTAGAATGGTTGAGAAAATGGAAGACTAGATTATGAGGAGCAAATGTAAAATCTTCATACTGCAAAGGTGAATGTTGGGCAGTGATTTGATTGCTGTTTTTAGGTTTGTAAAAGGGCTGGAAAATGTTGACTGTAACAAGCTGCTTCGCTTTCTCCAAAATAGCAGATCCATGGGATGTGGCCTGAACTTGAAGGGGAAAACTTCTGTAGAAAGACTCCGAGAAGTGTACTGATGGCACCTAAATTCTTCATGCAATGTCATTCATACAGAGATATTTTTTGCAGATAGAACATAATATGGTATGTGTGGTCTGCCCCCAAGATAGGTCCGTGACTCAGTATCTGCTGATACTTGATTCTGAGCTATTTTCTTGGCAATTTTTGCCAGTAGTTTTTTTTTATCCCTTGGCTTTCACTATCTCAAATTAAGCATGTTGGTGTTCATTCCATATATGTGTGCCAATCCACCGCCAGTACTAAAGAGATTGAAGCATGCAAATTTATTTTTCCATTTCCACTAAGGTGAGTTCATCCTTAAACTCCCCTGCTGCTGTCAGCCATTGCAAAAATTAGAATGAGACAAATTATGCTCTCTATAGCAAAAACAATAATCAAGGTTCCACAAACAATCCATATGTGGGGCTGTTGAAATAGGAGAGTTGGTCAGGGCCCTTGTATCATTTCCAGATCTTTAAAGGTGTTTGGAGATGGTATGACATACCTACATGATCATTGCAGCCTTTGAGTTTACAGTCCAGCTCAGGAACAGCCCTTTCGGCCCATGATGTTGTGTTGAACATGATGCCCAATAAAACTAATCCCTTCTGCCTGCCCTTGGTCCGTATCCCTCCATTCCTTGCATTTTTATGTGCTTGTGTAAAAGTCTTTTAAATACCAATGTCATATCTGCCTCCACCACCCCTAGCAACACGTTCCAGACTCCTACCATTCTCTGTGTAAAAGAAGAACTTGCCCCTCACATTTTTGAACTTTGCCCCTCTCACCTTAAATCCATGCCTCCTTGTATTAGACATTTGAACTCTGGGAAAAAGATTCTGACCGTCACCCCCATCCATGGATCTCATAATTTATAGACATCTATCAAGTCTCCCCTCAGCCTTTGCCACTCCAGGTAAAATAACCCAAGTTTTCCAGCCTCTCTTATAGCTCCTCTAATCCAGGCAGCACTCTGATAAACCTCTTCTGCACTCTCACTAAAGCCTGCAAAATTGAACCCAGACTTTCTGGAGGGACACTGATGATGCGCTGCAAGAATCTTTAATGCCAAAGGGTTGTTTATATCTATCCAAAGAAGTGAAGCATTTGATGGTTCAGTTTCAGATTTGAAAGTGAGCACAGCAGTTCCTTCCATTCTGCACGAGCATAGTCAAACCTGAATCATGGGTTGGAACTTGGTAACTACATCCACTGAGGTTAGGGTGTGATCTAATCATTCATGAGATGATGATCCATGATAATCGTCAGTATCCACAAGATTTTGATGTGAAAATATCCCTTGGAATTGGGAAAAAATCTGAAGAAGGGTCTGGGCCCGAGGCGTCGGCCTTCCTGCTCCTCTGGTGCTGCTTGGCCTGCTGTGTTCATCCAGCTCTACACCTTGTTATCTCAAACAATGAGGTTACATTGGTCTAAGTTTGGTATTTGTGAGTATAACCAGATTTTTCTGCCCTTTTGTTCCTAGGTTTCCACCTTCATTATGATGTATAGAACTCATTGTCAGAGAATCCTAGACACAGTGATCAGGGCAAATTTTGACGAGGTAAGCAATTCTGTTGAGCCAAACCCTTTTCTGGTGGCTACTTGCGGCTAAAACCACACTTCTAAGCTGCTTTCTTTTCCTTTTTCGTGTGAACCAGGTTCAAAGCTTCCTTCTACATTTTTGGCAAGGAATGCCCCCCCACATGCTCCCGGTGCTGGGCTCCTCCACTGTCGTGAACATTGTTGGTGTTTGTGACTCCATATTGTACAAGGCAATCTCCGGAGTTTTGATGCCCACTGTGCTGCAGGCATTACCAGACAGGTTGGTCAAAACATCCCATACCCACAACGGCATTGGATCCCAAATTGCAGACTCCAAATGGGAAAAGTTCAACACTAGCCTGGGTACACAATGGGTATTGGATCAATGGCCCTTTGTACACTCTACCAATCAGGCATTTTTCCTGTTATGCACCAATCCATTTATACCCATCCCTTATTAGCTTCCATTGAAATCAGTTGGCAGGAAAATCAGCATCTAATCACTGTCACTGCAATATGGCTGGGTCAAAATCCTGGAATTCACTTCCTAACAGCGTTGAGGATGATTCTACGTCCTAAGGACTGCAACAGTTCAAGGAGATGCCTCATCACCATTTTCTCCAGGGCAATTAGGATTGGACAATAAATCCTGGCCTTGCCAATGATGCTCATGTTCTGTGAAACAATAAAGCAAAATCCACTGCCCACCAGTGTTACGGCTGGAATAAAGTTATTTTTGTCCCAATATGTATGACCAGAATTGGGAACAATTTTGGGTAAACTCAAACGGGACTCCAGTTTACGATCATACTTTGAACTTTGTTGGTTTCTTAAGTCACAATTGGGCAAGAAAACATATATACACTTCAGTGATTTAACAAACCCTTTTCTATATACTGCAATGTCATTGTCTGGAAAGTCCATTCCCTCCAACAGACTGTATTGGTCCCAATGGAGGAACATCAATTTTTGTACCTATTGAATCTCAACAAGTGAAGGATGTGCCTCAAGATTAGTTTGTAGTTTCAAGTCCAATCCAGCCTCAAAACAATTACTTACAGATTAAATTCCTTTGTACACCAGTGATGCCTCTAGTGCTCTCCAGTTTTCAAATTTTGCTAAAGATGCAAAATAATTTGCTTAATATTAATTAAATTAATCAATTAATTAATCTACAAGATGCACTGCAATAATTCCCCAAAGCTCTTTAGACAGCATCTTCCAAATCCATGATCTCTCCCAATCAGCAGATACATAGAAACAGCACCACCTGCAAGATCCCCCTCCAAGCCACTGATCATCCTGACTTGGAAATATATTGCTGTTTCTTCATGTCACTAGGTTAAAATCCAGGAACTTACTCCCTAATAGCACTGAGTTTACTAGAGCAAATGGACTGCAGTGGTTCAAGAAAGCAGCTCACCACCACCTTCTCCAGGGCAATTCATCTTATGAAACAAATAAGATGTGTCAATCCCCTGTTCTTCAAAATAATGCCTCTTGAATCAACCTGAGAAAGAAGCTAGGGTCTCAATTTAATGTCTCATTGCAAAGAAGGCATGTGAATGGTATAGCACTCCATTGGTACTGCCTGTCCAACAGTGCATCCCTCCCTTTGTGCTGCCCCTCTGACAGAGCAGCACTCCCTTTGTGCTGCCCCTCCAACAGTTCAGTGCTTCCTCTGTTCTTCTCTGAGTGTGGCACATTCTCAGTACTGTCTCTCTGAGAGTGTTCCCTTGGTAATTCCCCTCCAATGGTGAATGCTCCCTCAGTACTGATCCTGTGATAGTGCTCCCTTGGGAGTATAACTTTGGGAGTATGAACTTAGATTTTGAGTTCAGGTCTCTGGAGCAGAATTCGAGCCTATAGTATCTGGATTCAGAAACGTTGATCAGGAGTTGACACCCCTACAACGGAAATTGTACCTAATTTTATTTCTTTCTAGATGTTTCTGAGTCAAGAGGTCAGTCATTGCAGTGCTTAAACAATTTATGTTGCTCTTCTGGCCACTAGCATCTGATTGTTCCCTTCCTATGTGGAAACACTTCACCACTAGTAAAGTTACTGGCGGTATAACTGAAATTAGGAACTGGCCACATGAGAAATCACAAATGAAAATCTGTCCATTGCCATTAGCATAGCCCAATTTGATAACAGAGTAAAGAGAGCAGAAAATTTAGGAAACACTTTGTAGGTTAGTCAGCAACTGAAAAGAGAAGAGGTGGGTGAACCATTTACCAAGTACATTAATTTGCAATATTGGTAGAAGATGTAAATAATTTGGGTTACACAAGATTCCCAGTTGCAGAAGGCCAGGTCTTTCTGTATGTGATGTTTTAGTACAGGAATTGAATTACTTTCACCTTTGCAAAGAGAAGATAATTGTTCTTTTGTGGGAAAGTGTGACATCTAGAGTGTGATGCATTGTCCCAGTACACTACAAGTGCTGTATGTATGCAAGTTGTTGTTTTTCTGAGGGAATATCCTACAAGATGTGGTTCATTCATTCCCTTTATCTGTCATTTCAGTCTGACACAGGTGATTCGTAAATTCGCTAAACAGCTGGATGAGTGGCTCAAAGTTGCACTTCATGAACTTCCTGAAAATTTAAGAAATATCAAATTCGAATGTAAGTTATAGATTAGTGTAAATATTGCCTGGGATATGCATGTATGATGCACCTAAGAAATGATGTCTGCATGACTTAACTGTGTATCATCTTCATTACAGTGGAATTTGACTGAAGCAAACAGAATACATGATAACTTTATTTTGGTCTTGATTGGCAAGAACTACACTATATACATACATTTTAAAATGCTTATGTGCTGTTGCAATTTGACCCATCCATCTCACTGTGTGGGGACAAACAAGTGCTCTTTGACCTGAAGATTATCAAAAGAATCCTCAAGAAATAAATGAGGAATTGTCTCTTACTGCCCAGACTCTGATACAGGCACATTGGGTGAACCCAAGTTATACTTCTGGCTATATGTTGCTCCCTCTTCATTGACAAGGGAGCTGTGTAGTTATCGGTGGCTCACTGAGTACTGTCCTTGGGTTCCCACTGCACGACTTTAACCTAAAAGTCAAGGCAGAGATTGTGGTGCAGTGCTGAGGGAGAGTTGCCTCTATTTTGGATCAATAAAGCATGGCAATGTTCCAGCCAGTGTTGACTTGCTAACAAATAATTCTCCCTTTTCTTCAGTGGTATATACCTGCCATGCTTACTCAATCTGGCCTATTTGTGACTCTAGGCTCATTGGAACATGGTTGACTCAACTCTTGACTCTGATGGGGATGTGATGCCTAGTGGTATTATCGCTGGACTATTAATCCAGCGATCTAAGTAATGTTCTGGGTTCGATTCTCGCCATGGCAATTCCTTTAGTAAATTTTGAACCCTTGCCCCCACAGCATTCACCTGTCCCTCTGGATCACTAGGCCAGTGATATTAAAGCTACATCACCATCACCCCAGTAATAGTAGTAAACATTTCCCTTGGAATACACGGGGGGGGAGAAATCTTGGAGAATGATTAGAGGCAGTTGCAGACGAGGACAAGCTGCTGAAAGAGGGAGGAAGGAGTGAAAGTCGTGGTGTAGGGATGATGATATTAGACAGATCAATTCAGGCTAATGCTTTCTGAATGTGCGTTCAAATCCTACAACAGATGGTGATATTTGAATAATAAACAAATGCTCATCTACTGTTGACCATTTAACCACTGTTACTATTGTAAAACACACTTGGTTCAGTAATCTACCATCCTTACCTGATCAGGATTACAAGTGACTCCAGACCCACAACAATATGGTTGGCTCCTAACTGCCCTCTGGGAATTCTTAGCCAGTGACATCCACATCCCTCCAACAATTATAGATCGTGGGTAGTCATCAGGAGCTCATGTTGAGGGTGTTTAAAGACAAATTCTGCCAATTTGCCCCAAAAGCAACAGATCAAAGAGTATTGTAGCACCCCAAAGGAAAAGGGCAGGTGAATGTCAGTCAATCAGAATGTGTTAATCTTCCCAAGTAGACAAACAGCAATTTAATCAACTGCTCAAATATAGCTGCATGGTGTGAATGGCTTAAAGACAGCAAATCCATCTTGTCACAGTTAGAACATTCCACAGGATTCTGGTAGTGCTGGCATTGAGTGAACAGGATGATATTTTTAGTTGTCAAATGATGTTGTTTCAAGAGTTTAAATATCCTGGCAGGTAGCAAGAACAGTGATAATTCACCTTGAGGAGGACAGTGACATTCTCAGTTCAATCCTCACAAACAGTCCAGACTCTGAAAACTCCGTCACAGTATGGAAAGAGAGCAGTGTGATTAGAGGGACTGACATTCAGATCTGGACTCTTCTGCTCTGGTGAAGATGTGCTAAGCATTGTTTTTATTCATTTTGTGGATGTGGGCGTTGCTGGCTGGCCAACATTTGTTGCCCTTCAGAAGGTGATAGTGAGCTGCCTTCTTGAACCGCTGTAGTCCTCCTGCTGTGGGTTGACCCACAATGTCATTAGGAAGGGAATTCCAGGATTTTGACCCAGTCACAGTGAAGGAACGGCGATATATTTCCAAGTCAGGATGGTGAGTGGCTTGGAGGGGAACTTGAAGGTGGTGGTGCTCCCATATGTCTGCTGCCCTTGTCCTTCTAGATGGAAGTGGTTGTGGGTTTGAAAGGTGCTGTCTGAGGTCATCTTTGGTGAATTTCTGCAGTGCATCTTGTAGATAGTACACACTGTTGCTATTGAGCATTGGTGGTGGAGGGAGTGGATGCTTGTGGATGTCGTGCCAATTGAGCGGGCTGCTTTGTCCTGGATGATGTAAAGCTTCTTGAGTGTTGTTGGGGCTGCACTCATCCAGGCAAGTGGGGAGTATTCCATCGCACTCCTGACTTGTGCCTTGTAGATGGTGGACAGGCTTTGAGGAGTCAGAAAGTGATTTAAATGCAGCAGTATTCCTAGCCTCTGACCTGCTCTTGTAGCCATTGTGTTTATGTAGTGAGTCCAGTTGAGCTTCTGATCACTGATAACTCCCAGGATGTTGCTAGTGGGGAATTCAGTGATGGTAACACCATTGGATGTCAAGGGTCGGTGGTTAGATTGTCTCTTATTGGTGATGATCATAGTCTGGTATTTGTGTGGCTTGAATGTTACTTGCCAATTGTCAGCCCAAGCCTGGATATTGTCCAGATCTTGTTGCATTTGGAGACGGACTGCTTCAGTGTCTGAGGAGTTGTGAATGGTGCTGAACATTGTGCAATCATCAGTGAACATCCCCAATTCTGACCTTATGATGGAGGGAAGGTCATTGATGATGCAGCTGAAGATGGTTGGGTCTAGGACATTATCCTGAGGAACTCCTGCAGTGATGTCCTGGAGCTGAGATGACTGACATCCAACAACCACGACCATCTTCCTATGTGTCAGGCATGACTCTAACCACTGGATAGTTTGCCCCCTGATACCCATTGATTCCAGTTTTGCTATGACTCCTTGATGCCACACTTGGTCAAATGCAGCCTTGATGTTAAGGGCTGTCACTCTCACCTCCCCTCTGGAATTCAGCTCTTTTGTCCATGTTTGACCCAAGGCTGTAATGAGGTCAGGAGCTGAGTGGCCCTGGCGGAACCCAAACTGGGCGTCACTGAGCAGATACTGCTGAATAGCACTGTTGATGACACCTTCCATCACTTTACTGATGATTGACAGTCCACAGATGATTGGTTGGGTTGGATCTATCCTGCTTTTTGTGTACAGGACATACTTGTGCAATTTTCCACATTACCTGGTAGATACTAGTGTTGTAACTGTACTGGAACAGCTTGGCTAGGGGAGTGCCGCGTTCTGGAGCACAAGTGTTCAGTACTATTGCCAGAATGTTATCAGGGCGTGTAGCCTTTGCAGTATCCAGTGTCTCCAACCATTTCTTGATATCACGTGGAGCGAATTGAATTGGCTGAAGACTGGTACCTGTAATGCTGGGGACCACTGGAGGAGGCCGAGATGGATCATCCACTCGGCACTTCTGGCTGAAGATTGCTGCGAATGCTTCAGCCTTATCTTTTGCACTGATGTACTGGGGTCTTTCATTATTGAGGATGAGTATATTTGTGGAGCCTCCTCCTCCAGTGAGTTGTTTAATCATCCACCACCATTTATGACTGGATGTGGCAGGACTGCGGAGCTTAGATCTGATCTGTTGGCTGTGAGATCACTTAGCTCTGTCTATCACTTGCTGCTTATGCTGTTTGGCGTGCAAGTAGTCCTGTTTGGTGGCTTCACCAGGATAACCCCTCATCTTCAGGTATGCCTGGTACTGCTCCTGGCATGGTTTCCATTTATTCATTCATTCATTCAAATATGATATATCATTGCTGAAGCTCAGGGCTCAAGTTTAATTCCTAGACTTGACATCTACGGAAGGTGTGTTCATAACATGGCCAAACAGATTGAGGGTCAACCTCCAAATCCTCCAATGGCAGCCTGTGTGTATGGGACAGGTTCCAGGTCAACCATACAATGGAGTCCGTACAATCACTGCCTGTAGCTCCAGACAGGCATGGAACTGTGTACGTTTGCATAGCAACTCAGACTGCCTGAATGAACTGTAATTCCACCACCACATTTTCACTAGAGTTCAGGGAGATGTAAGTTTGAAGTTTTTGTCATAAATTCAGTCCAAACAGAAAAATTCAAGTAAAGTGTTTTTAACGGACAGTTTGATCTGCTCCAAGTGTCTGATTGCTCCAGGTTGCTGCTGAGATTACTGAAAAATATTTTTGCCCTGGCTGGGGTAATGTAAGACACAAGGCCACAATCTGATTTGGTGTCATTTCAGACTGAGATGAGGAGAAATTACTTCACACAGAGGGTTGTGATTGTTTGGAATTTTCTACCAAAGAAAGTTGCAAATGTTCCTTGAATACATTCAAGGAAGTGATTGATGGATTTTTGGTTTCCAAGTCAATTAAGGGATACAGAAGTAGTGAGGGCAGTGGGAGTAATGATGCTCATTTAATCAGCTGGTGCAGGTACAATGGCTGAATGACTTCCTTCTGCACCGTAACAGTTCTGTGACCAGTGGGGTAGGAAATAACTTTATTGAATGATAGAACAGGTTTGAAGGGCTGAAAGGCCTACACTTGTTCTGACTGCTCCATACATCTGGAAAAGTGCATTTTGCTGAACCTTCTACTGGACAGTGGAGGCACAAATATCAAATTTTAAAACATTCAAAATTATTTTTCCACAAATAGCTCGGAAATGGAGATTAACTTCTGAAATTCCTTTTTAGGTGAGGTGGATGATTGTGGTGTAATAGTTATGTCTCTGGTTTATGAATCAAGACCAAAGCTAATGTTCTTAGGACATGGGTTCAAGACCCAACATAACAACTGATGGGAAATAATGAATATGGAATGTTAAACCAAAATCATCACAACTTGTTGAAAAACACTATTTGGTTCACTAATGTCCTTTAGCAAAGGAAATCTGCCATCCTTGCCTGGTCTGGCCTACATATCACTTCAGAATCATGATGCTGTCTCTTAACTACCCTCTGAAATGGGCTAGTAAGCCACTCAGTGTAAGGCCAATTAGGGATGGACAACAAATGTCAATCTTTCCAGCCACACCCACATCCCATGAAGGAATAATTTTAAACCAAAGAAGGTTTCCATATGTTTGTAAAACAAATGGCATTAGGACTAAACATAGTCAGTAGCCAAAATGGTTTCTTTTCTCCACAAGAATTTGTTGGTAATACTTCACAGGCCCTGAAGCCTGATTTGTCTATGGAAGCTGAGAGGAGTTTTGAAACTGGAGGCTGAGAGGGGTGGAATGACCATGAAAGGTGAAGCAGGGGTCACGGGGTCAGGGGACAAAATTGCTGAAGGATAACTGGAAGAAATACATTGAGACTTTAATTCACTTAAAATCTATTAACCTAAGCAGAGTTTAAATTGAGGCCATAATGTGGGAAAATGTACATATTTGTAATTTTATATTGTCAAGCAAAGAAAAATTACTGCACTGATTGAACTAAGTCAGAAAATATGAATGAGGTTGAAGGGATTGTCAACATCCTAGAAACCTGTCTGATTCTCAATCTATTGAAATTAATGGGATAAATATTAGTTGTTTCTATGAAGGGTGAGTGATCAACTGGTCACCATGTTTACTGGGTAGTGGGATTGAAAATTAGTGGTGATTCTGGTTGTAACTAATGATCACCTACGTTGAAATAATGCAGATTATTGATTTGTAATGTGCCCCTTCTGAACTAGTGAAAAACACAAGAATAGTGGGCAGAGGTAGGCCATTCACCTCCTCAAGTCCTCTTTGCTGTTCGATTATACTGTGCCTGATCTGATTGTGGCCTTAGCTCCACTTTTTCTGTCAGCAGCACAAACCCCTCCCACCCCTTCACTGTACTTTCCTGTCATTCCCCTTTGAGTCCCTTGACCATCAAAAATCTATTTGAACCTTGAATAAATTCAAGGACCCATTTCCCCCTGCTTTCATGAGAGGAGAATTCCACAGGTTAATAATCCTCTGAGAGAAAAGATTTCTCCTCATCTCCGTTTTAAATGGGAGACTCCTAACTCTTAAACTACTTCCACTAGTTCTAAACCCCGCCCCTTCAAAGGGAAACATCATTTCAGCACCCACCCTTGTCAAGTCTGCTCAGGATGTTATATGTTTCAATAAGATCTCCTCTCATTCATCTAAACTCCAGTGGATGCAGGCTCTATCTGCTAAATCTTTCCAGGTAAACTAATCCTTCCTTCCCAAGAGTCAGTCAAGTGAATATTCTATGAACTGCCTTTAATTCCACTATATTCTTAAGCAAGGTATCCAGAACTGTACACAGTACTCCAGCTGAGGTCCTAACAAGGCCCTGCATGGTTTTATTCATAAAGAAGATGAGGGTGTCATTGGCTAAGCCAGTTTTTATTCCCAACAGTAATTACCAAGAGGGCAGTTAAGAGTGAACCATATTGCTGTGAATCTAGAGTCACATATAGGCCAGACTAGGTAAGGATTTCCTTCCCTAAAGGATGTTAATGAACCAGATGGGTTTTTATGACAATAGACAGTGGTTACATGGTCATCATGAGACTAGATATTTTATGAATTAAAACTTCATCCATGCCCCTAGAACATTAGACTGGAATTCTTGGTTGATTTTGGGCCACTGCCTCCATTTGCAGCAGATATTTACTTTTATGCTTGATTCCCTTAGCAAAAAATTCCAAGATTCCACTTACCTCATGTGTACTAGCTTTTTGTGATTCACACATTCTGTACCTTGGAGTTCTGCAATCTCTCTCTATTCACATACTATACTGCTTAGTATTTAACATGTAAACCTAGGTCACGTTTGGTAAAACAGAAGAGGTGAAGTCTGAAAAGGGTAAAAGTGCCCTATTTCTCTTAGCCCTGGGTGACACTGTTGGGTATGTATCAGTGCTGGGTGATCACTGGAGGCAAATTGATCATTTTAGTTTGCTGCATATTTAGAGGCTGGTAACTAAGGAGCTATTTTGAGATGTTTCAGCACGTGTAGGTCAGAAGGAATGACAAATAGTTTGATCCATTGAAATTTTACATGCTTTAATTTGTCAGTTATCTGAAAACTTTTCTTGTTCTCCTTTTAGTGGCAAGAAGATTTTCGCAGGTTCTCAGACGTCAGACCTCATTAAATCACCTCTGTCAGGTAAATCGATCAGTTGGGTAATGAGTGCACCTTGACACTTCACATGACTGGCTGAACCGCTGTCCATTTCCAACATTTCTCATTTTTAACATTGAATTCTTTTAGTATTAGTAATTAAGACATTTTCAAATGAACAATTTTATTGCAGGTTGTGTAGGGCATTTTAGGTTACATCAGGTGTAACTCATCCACTCATACGGTCTCTCATCAACAATCTATATCCTTGACAAATCTTTATTGAAAATTCTATACCCAGCCCCCGCCAGTGTGTCAGATTTTTTGTAAGATATTTCACATTTATTTCGATGTGGGCATTGCTGGCAATGCCAGTGTTATTGCTCATTCCCGGTTGCCCTTGACAACATGCCCTTGCAGGATCACTTTAGAAGATAATTCAGATTCAACCACACGGGTGCAGATTTGAAACCAAATATACATCCACACTGCCCAACAAGGGCACATTTCCTTCCCTAAAGGATACTCATGAGCCCATTGGGATTTTACAATCTTCCGATAGCTTCAAGATCACTCTAACTGACAGCAGCTTCCCATTTCCAGATTTTAAAAAAAATTTCAATTGAAACTCATGAGGGGACTCAAACCCAGTTCTCTGGATTATTGTTCCAGGCCTCTACATTACCCTTCAGTAACACAGCCGCTCCACTTCTCTCTGTGGCTATGCCGTATCATACCTTTGCACCATGCTCCAGCTCGTAAGTACTGCCACACATGCTCCACTTTCCCACCCTGGTCGCCTTTGCATCCAACCCTTTCTTCAGTCTGTGCATTGTTGCACAGATTTTAGCTATTTTGGCTCTAGACTTAAAGAATGTCCTCGCTTTCCTCGTCCATCTTTACTAACTTCCTTGCTTCCTTGAAGACCCTCCTCACAATCTTCATTTTGGTTGCAGAAAACTTCCCCAGAGGTACATAGATTGTACAGCATAGCAACATTCCATTTGGACCAATCCATCTAGGTACCCTTTCCACCCGTGTCATTCGCACCGTAGCAGCATATCCTCCTGTACCTTTCTCACTCATATGTACTTAATGGGAAACTACATCTGCCTCATTTGCCTCTGTCACTTTCTGTGGTATCGAATTTGTAAGTAAAGTCACCATAGTGTTACAGGACCATAGGGCTACTCTCTCTCTTTCGTTAGAGAGACGACTGGTGATGATTTAACTTGAGGGTCACCTTGGGTGAGGGGAGAGTTTAGAAGGACAGCCCTTCATGGTAAGTTCAGCTGGTGCAGGAATTGAACCTATGCTGTTGGCATCGCTCTGCGTGGCAAACCAGCCATTCACATTGCACCAAAGAAGTTTGTCCTGATTCTCATATTAAATGTACTAGTGACTACCTTACATTTATAGCCTCTAGTTTCGGAGACCACAACCTCAAAAAAAAAGAAACATTTTCTCCATGTCAACCACACCAGGTTCTTTCATAATTTTAAAGTTTTAGTTTGCCAGAAGACAGAGAGCCAACCTGTTTAATCAGTTCCACACCATTGTTCAAAGCCTTGGCCTGGCTCTGTAAATCACTTTTGAACTGTCTAAAATGTTAAAAATACTCTCAACAGGAAAACTGCATATTATCGGACATGGCGTGCTGTCTCGATATTTATATCTGTTTTAGAATTCATTTTAAAAACATGAGATGATCTCAAGAATTTAAGAAAGCCAGTTGATCAAAACAAACCCAGAAGAAAAGTGATATAAAGAGAGTAAGTAGAGTTATAGAGTTTAAAAAGATGGTTTAGTGTAAATTGAAAAACAGTCCTATTAAAAATGAGTTAAAATATCCACACAGCAATGAGAACAATGCAATAAAACAGAAAGCTGAAGGCAGTTATGCATTGGGAGGAACCATTGTATGGTTGTATTAAGACATGAACACACAAAAAAATTAGAGTTGGGAATTAAAATTGGAGAATTTAATATATATTTAGAACATAGAGAGAAGGTTAGAAGGGAGGGTATGTGGCTGTACTTATTAGGACTAATAAGACAGTAGAAAAAGTGACACAGCTATCAGTAACACAACACAGAATACATACAGATGTTTGTCTCATATCTTCACATGCATCTCTTTTCTGGGGAAGTGCTGGAAGGATAAGCAGGCAGATTGTCAACCTGTCGAACTGTGTCATGTACATGCCTTTCATGGCTAACATGCGTGACTACCCAAGACCCTCTGACTCAGCTGTAGGGCTGTTTCCTGGTGATCCTCAAGGCTTCCAGGAATTGAGGTAACAGGTAGTCTCTGTGGCGCAATTGGTTGGTGCATTTGGCTGTTAACCAAAAGGTTGGTAGTTTGAGCCCACCCAGGGATGGGTCATTGTTTAGGGTGGCACGGTGGCTCAGTGGTTAGCACTGCTGCCTCACAGTGCCAGGGACCTGGGTTTGATTCCAGCCTTGGGCAACTGGCTGTGTGGAGTTTGCACGTTCTCCCCTTGTCTGTGTGGGTTTCTGCCGGGTGCTCCAGTTTCCTCCCACAGTCCAAAGATGTGCAGGCTAGGTGGATTGGCCATGCTAAACTGCCCATTGTGTCCAGAGATGTGCAGGCTAGGTGGATTAGCCATGCTAAACTGCCCATTGTGTCCAGAGATGTGCAGGCTAGGTGATTAGCCATGGGAAATGTACTGTTACAGGGATGGTTTGGGGGTGGGTCTGGGTCTGCTGTTTGGAGGGTCAATGTGGACTCATTGGGCTGAATGACCTGTTTCCACACTGTAGGGATTCTATGATAGTATGAATATATAGAATCTATAGACCACTGAATAGTGAAAGCGGGTGGAGAAAGACAGATGCAGGTAGGGAATTCAATAAAAAAAAGGAATAATAATCAAGGGGGAGGGTTAGGAGAATTTCAACTAACTTGATATTATTTGGACAGGAGAGATATGTAGAAGGGATGATACAATTGAGTGTCTACTGTGTGTAGGAGACTCCTTTCTAACCCAATATATAAAAAAAATTGTAAGGAGTGAAATGACATTGCATCTGGTCATGGAAAATGAGCCAAAGCAGAAAAGGAAACTAAATACTCTGGAACATCTATGTAGTTGTGACCATGCTATAATATATTTTAAGGTGATGATGAAAATGGATTAATAAATTGATGAAGATTTATTTTAAGTGGCTGAGAATAGAACTTGAGAAAAGAGAATGGGTAACAATATTGATATATAATGATGTAGCTCAACAGTGGAAAATATTTTCCAACAGTGTTCACAGGGTGAAATAAAATATATTCTGTTAAAAGGAAAGAACAAACTAAATATGAGTAAGACTCCAGAGATGAATAAAGAGATAAAGTAACAAACAAGGATTAGGATATGTACACAGCCAACAGAGTGCAGGATAAGAAGGAGATGAAGAAATAATGAGAGGATTTACAAAGTAATTAGACAAAATGAAATATAAAATTAAATTATAAAAGAACACCAAACAAAATAGTAAAATGTTTTGCGGAATTCAACAGAAATAAAGGAAGCCTGTGATGGGAATAGGACCAAAAAGGGAAAAACAGGATAATATTGCAAAAACTAGTGGTGTGCCACAGCGGTCAGTGCTGGGGCCACAATTATTTCTAATATTTATTATTGACTTGTATGACGAAAGTGAGCGTACTATATCCAAGTTTGCAGATGACACAAAATGAGGTGGGAAGGCAAGTGGAGACGATGAGAAAGAGTCAGTAGAGGGATGCAAACAGGTAAGTGAGTGGACAAAAAGGACAGATGGAATCTAAAGTGGGGAAATGTGAGTTTATACACTTTGCCAGGAAGATTAGATAAACTGAATAATATTTAAACGGAGAAAGACTGCAGAAGCTGGAACATTGGGATTTGGAAGTCCTTGTCCATGAATTACAAACCAACTAACATCCAAATTCAGTGAGTAAAAGGAAGGCCCAGGATTGTTGGCATTTTTTTCACGGGGAATGGACTATAAAAGTAGGGACTATCTTATAAGGAGAGGTCTGTATTTGCAGGAATGTAGAAGAATGACAGCTTACTTTATTAAAACATACGGCATTCTCAGGCGGCCTTACAGGGTAGATGCAGGAAGGTTGTTTCCCCATATGGGAGAGTCTATACCAGAGGGCATAGTCTCAGAATAAAGGGTCACAAATCTAAGACAAATGAGGAGGAATTTCTTTTCTCGGAGGGTAGTGACCCTGTGGAATTCTTTACCACAGAGGGCTGTTGAAGCTGCGTCATTAAGTACTTTCAAGACTGGGAGAAACAGATTTCTAATTAGTACGGGGAATCAAGGGTTATGGGGAAAAGGCAAGAAAGTGGAGTCAAGGATTATCAGATCAGCCAGGATCTCATTGAATGATAGAACAGACTCATTTAGCTGAATGGCCAACTTGTACTCCTATGCCTTTTTGTCTCATGGTATTAGAGTTAAAGACAGATGACAGAGTTATCAATAGAAGTAATAAAATAATTATCTGCTGGGGAAATGGACAGGTTGACGCATCATTGAATGTGAGATTAGCAATGAGAAAAGGGCATTTAAAATAAGAGGGAAACAGGGAATTAAATAAACTCAGGATGAAACCCCTGGGGCCAGATGAATTGCATCCATGTATTTTGAAAGAATCTAGAGAGGAGATAGCAGAGATCTTACAACACATCTTTAATAATTCATTAGTGGAAGGTGTACTGTTAGCAGACTGGTGGATCGCTAATATAGTTCCTGTATTTAAGAATGGGAAAGAACATGTCCAGAGAATTATAGCTTATCATCATTGATAGAAAAAGAAATGAAATTCTTATTAAATGAGAAAAGAACATCCAGAAACAAAAATATAATCGTGAATAATCAGCATAGATTTGGAAAGGAGAAATCTTGGTTGACCAACCTTACTGAATTTATTAAGTGTTAACAGAGACAGTCAACAATAGTAAATTAATCAATATAAATTATTTGGATTTTCAACAGGCCTTCTAGAACGTGACTCATCATAAACAAATGACAAAGGTTTGGGAATGTCA